ATAATGCGCATCCCCCCCCCCCCATTCATCATGTAAAAACTTCAATGGGTGAGTTGATGGCTGACAGTCTGATCAACTACAACTACAGTCAGTGATGAATTGAGTAGGAGGCTATTAATACAGCGCGTGTTGAAGATCAGACGTTCTTGTTACCTGGCATCTGCTTCGTGTCTTTTCATAATACGTTCAACGTTTTTCGAGCGAGATGCAGCAAGAAAAGAATGTGAGTTGCCCATGAGCTACATGTTCCCCAAAATCGATTCTGTGCATTGACTGGCGGGCGTCGTGTACAAAGCACGTTGCAACTTTCAACGCCTCAACCGGGAGATGAGCAAGAGTTGCGTTCTTGCGCAATACTTGCAACACTAGCTATCATTAGATGTTAGACGGTGTTAGTTTTATTAGACGTCGGCAGACAGACAGGGCAGACAGGGAGAGGTCTTACTGTGCTCGGATTTTGGTTCGGGGGGCTGCATTCTGGCAGGAGGCGCACAGACAGACGGTTTGAACAGTGAAGCGGGTCGAGGCAACTTCGACACATCCAGAGAGCTCAGACAGCGACGGACAACCGCAGGCGCCGACAGGGTCCAAAGACTGGATGCACCGGAAGCCAGTGGGTGGCCACTAGATTCGGAGGTAGCGTGAGGCGAGCGTGCTTTCGACGCAGGGGATGAAGACGAGCTGGGGTGAGAGCGGGAGCGTGACGATGGAGGGGGAGCGGCAGCACGGGAGTGATTCTGGTCCTCTGAGGCGTTGACGTTGGAGCAGCTGGCAGCTCGGCCTCGCCACTTGCTCTCCTTAAAAGATTCTTCACTGGTCTCGACGACTATGTCCAGACAGCTGCCCACGCTCTTCGGCCGCAAAGCGTTTTCCCGCCGCGGGGCTGACGGCGTTGCCGCAGAATCTACCGAATGCCTGGTGAGACTGGGTGGAGCAATTCCAGATGGAGCCAGTGTTTTTGTTGACGCAGAGGTCGAATGCGAACGACTGCGAATTGTCCTACAGTTGCTATCTTGGCTCCTGTCGCTCGAGAAGCGGGATGCCAGGCTGTCATTGGACAAAAAAATCTGTTGCCTGGTCAAAGGGGCGGAGTCATCCAGGATCGTCTCCAGTGAGGAGCTTCTGTGTCGGCGCCTCAAGGACCAGCCGGCCGCACTGAGGCTCACGTCGCTGCCTCCTAACTGGCCACCGTCCGCGGTGGCGGGGCCTCGTCTCCTCGACTGAATTTTTGCGCCGAGCACTTCCCTCATGGGAGACTCCATCTCATCGCACGTTCCTTGTCTAAGCAGTGACAGGAGGAGACATTCTGTGGAGCGAAATGACATCTTGGGCGGAGGAGGCGCCGAGGGAGGATTGCACTTCTTGCGTTTGCCACCTTGGTGCGCAGCGGGCACTGCGAGATAGCCGCAGTACACTAGACAGAGAGGTAAACAGAGGGTCGAGTGGCGCAGGCAGGGAGTCAGTGCAAGCAGACAGTAAAAGGGGAGGAGGGACAAGCTTCGGTTAGCTCAAACTTTCACTGTACAGCTTACGGAACCAAAGACAACAGAGCGGGCACGTAGGAAAAAACACAGATGTGAATAACGGTGTTAGCGTTTCACAAACAGAAGAGAGAACCAAAACCTCTGTTGTTAGCCAAAACGTACCAAACAAGGTATTGCACGGTCCATAATTCCATGTCCGTAAATATACTTTTGTAATAATCAAGCAATGAGAAGAGTACCTACCCAGCACGTTGATGAATAGTTCATACAATTCGTAGGTGAGCAATGGCTGTGGAAGGCTGTAGAAGTAATCCGACACCGTTTTGAAAACGTCCCGCTCAAAGCCCGGGTAGGACGGCTCCGCGCTGTCATACTTGGGCCCTGGACGTGAACACAACGTGGCCGTCAGTTGACATTTTAAAAGGACAGAGAAACAGAAGCGCGGTCTTTAATTTATGCACCGTAGCAACAATCGTCATGGAAATACCAAAATAAATCATTCGTAAAAGAAGATCAATTACTGCTGCTGCTACTCACAGTTGGCCAGGCTCTTCATAGCTGACAAAACCCAATGAGGAAGGTCATCTGGAGAAAAGATTGGATTGGCTATTATCACAGTTCGTGTCATCTCAAATCACATTTTCCTATCGCATGATTTTGCTGATATAAAAACAAAAGCTACAAGTGCTCATGAAGTTCAATTTCATTGTACTGCAAAGCCGCTAGTTATCAAATTAATCCGTCCTTGGATCTCGGTACTCAAAACCGCGTGCACATTTTTCAGCCTCACGCAACACTTGTGCATCGCAGTTTTAAGTACTAACCGACTCAATATTTTCATCCAACTCTCGTGCGCACACGCGCCGACAAGATGGGACGACAGCGAACCCCCACGTGATTGTGGAGCTTGCAACGAATAAGCGGGAATAGTCATCAACACAGGTAAAGCTTCAACCTACTGGTCTTGTCATCGAGGGCGACCACGCCATGCTTGTTGACTTTAGTCATGTTATGGATGATGTGGTGAGGGTTTACGGAACGGGGGTCTAACACTTCATCAAGAGATGCAACACCCAGAATCTTCTGCAGGCTGAAACATAACAGAAAGCCACTGAGGATCTTGTCTTCATTCATTCAGGATTGCCACATGTTTTTTTTTTGTTGTTGTTTTTTTTAACTGGGTCAGTGTGGTATCTCTCCAGATATTGCGCTCGTCATCTTCAGTCAACTCTCGTCTCTGTACATGCGGCTCTTCTGGATCTTTCTCTTCTTCTGCTTGTTGATTTTCCTGAAAGGGACAGATAAGGTCGCTCTTTCAACTATAATTTAAATGTACCGATTTTTTTTTTTGGATGACTAAAAAAAAAAAATCGGTACATTTCAACTATAATTTAAATGTACCGATTTTTTTTTTTGGATGACTAAAAAAAAAAAATCGGTACATTTCAACTATAATTTAAATGTACCGATTTTTTTTTTTGGATGACTAAAAAAAAAAAATCGGTACATTTCAACTATAATTTAAATGTACCGATTTTTTTTTTTGGATGACTAAAAAAAAAAAATCGGTACATTTCAACTATAATTTAAATGTACCGATTTTTTTTTTTGGATGACTAAAAAAAAAAAATCGGTACATTTCAACTATAATTTAAATGTACCGATTTTTTTTTTTGGATGACTAAAAAAAAAAAATCGGTACATTTCAACTATAATTTAAATGTACCGATTTTTTTTTTTGGATGACTAAAAAAAAAAAAATAAATAATTACAAGACATCCAGGTTGGCTTACCTCAGCCTCCTGTTCATTTTTCTTCAAGCTTTTAAACCTGAAGAAACCCTCTTTGTCTCTAAGTGAAGGCCTTTTCTTAATGCCTTTGGACGCTGAGGGCACAGCTGGACACGGGATGGGCTTCAGCGGAGAAGTGGACGGAAACCTTTTGAAACACATGTACGAATGTCATGGCAGCAACTAAAATGTCTCTTTCATAATCCAAAGCAGAGAATGGGATCACTGAAGCTAAAGATTACCTATAAAGTGTGTTATTGTCCTCGAGATCCTCTGTGCCCCAACGGCCCTTCACGTCTTCTATCACGTGGTTCTTCAGAAATTTCTTGAGCAGCTGGACCGTCTGCTGTCGGGTGACATCGGGACCAAAGTTGCTGTTGCTACAGAGCATTTGGTGCAGCCAGTCCACAGCAGCGAGCGCCGTGAAGCAGGAGCTATAATTCCGCAGGTTCTGCCGGTGCTTCTTCAAGGGCATACCAGCTCGGAAGAGATGAGTTATCTCATTCCACTAAGACCAGACAAGAAGATTTATTGGGCTACTTTTGTCTGAATGTTTATATACAATTAATCTCTTGACATGAAATCCCTACAGAAATTGCATTTCTTGTTGAACTGCAGAGGGGGTTGCTTGAAATGAAGATAAAGGCTTATAAAAAGGACTGATAAATTACCAGGTCAGGCCAAGTTTTACAAGTTGAAACTATTTGTGTCAGACTCAAGATTTTAAATGATTCGATCCCTTTAGTACATAAAATGTAATCGTGCTTTGGTTATCAACTCAAATGCAACAATGTGTTTGATTTCGTTGACTGAAGGTGTGTGGCTTAAAATACATTGGTGCAAGGGCCAAATAAGAAATTATTTTCTTAATTTCCATTCAACAAACATGTACGTATCGTAAATCATTCGTGTCTGACGAAGCCACGCCACGTAAACAAATAACTTGAGAAGTTAAAATTGTTTGGTCTGGTTAGTTTATGGCTATCTGAAACTAATTGACAACAGTCATGTGAGTTCATATTTATAATTAAATACGACCGATAAAGCATTTGCTGGAAAAAAACTGAGGTGAAAGTCTTTTTCGCGTTTCCTTGCAAGAACTTAACGTGAACTTACCAGCTTTGTAGCTCGGTACGGCCCAGGGGTGATGATATGTGTACTCATGTTTATCCCAAAATGACGGAACCGGTCATTTCAAATCGGCGACAGATAATTCGTATCCATTACAAGGTAAGCAAGTGTGGGACGAGATAGTAAGTAGCAGCATTGGTGAGTCTCAACAATACAAAGTTGCTAACCCTCCCTTGCAGCCGTCCGTTCAAAATTACGAGCCGTGAGTCTCTGCCACGTGATTGGACAGTTGGTAATCACGTGTTCGAATTGCGACAATGTAGCTTTAAAATAACATGTACAGTACTGTACTGTACTTGACTGTTTTCTAAAAGCCTATTTTCGGGATACCATCCGTGCTTTACTTTTAATTTTCTTTGTCTTTTTTATTGTTTGGACAAGACGAACATATCTTTTTAAGGCCGGAAGACACCACGTTGTTTAATATAGCCAGCAGGATGGGACGAAGTGAGAGAATATGGGTCGACTAAAATATTTGCTCGAAAAAAATCACCTGCTAGAAAAAAAGCAGCCGTGAAATCTCATCTTCAGATTTAGAACCAAAATAAGAGAGGTACAATCTTTAATAAGCACCAAATCGTCAAAGGAGGGGTTACATCATCTGGACAATGAATTCGTAAATTGGAAATCGCGGCCATACAAAGTTCTATTGATAATTGTGGAAGTTAGTATTTTTAAATATTCGAGTTGAGCAGTTTGGAGGGGGCGAATGTGGAGAGGAGCTGCCACCTGATTGGCGGATTTCTGTTTACGCTTTTCGGTTTGACAGGAAGTCGGTCACGATTGGAGGAGAAAGCGACCGCTCTTCGCTTATCATTGGCTGCTTCAACACATGGGCAATTTAAAATCTATGATAGTTGTGAGGAAACAAGCGTTTTGTAGTTGGATAGTGTGGTCCTTTATGTAGCTACTTTTGCAAACATTCGACAGCAGTGTCCATCGATCAGTGGATAATTTTACGAACCAGCAAATTGGATGGAATGTAGCTTGCTGTGACGGTAGCGACGATCGTAACGGGAAAAATGTCCGAAAGTGTCGCTTTATCCTGCGCTCCAGGCAGCTTTGTGGAATTCTCTCCAACGAGGAATGGCGACACTGACAAGGAAAACGATGTTGCTGTTTTGAGCCTGCACCTGTTTTCGAAGGCTACTTTTGTATCTTTCGGGACAGTGAAAATAGGCACCTCCAAGTCGACCGCTCTGCGCATCGAAAACCCAACAGAGTTTGCCGATGCTGTGCTGACTGTTGACAAGATCCCATCAAGCAAAGGCTTTTCTGTGGACAACAACACATTCACAATTCGGGTATGTGCTCTAAAATCCTTGCATAATGTTTCGCCGTGGTTCTTCAACTTTACAAGAGCCGGACATTTCATCAGCGACATCTGCACAATCTAATCTGCTGGACCAGATATTTTTACAAAAATGATAGATATAGATTAATAGATAGATAGATAGATACCTGCGGTTGAAAAATAAAATGTACTTTTACTGCCACAGAATTACTCACGATGAAGCTGCCAAATTGAATGATGTATGTCATGCTTTTCAAGTGGCCTGTTACTCAATCATTTAAAATGTTGTCCGCAGCCACTGGGCTCTTATACCCTGACTCTCACCTGGACACCAACAGAAGAGGGTGGAATCAGAGAACTGATTGTCTTCAATGCCAATGGAATCGTCAAGCACCAGGCAATTTTGCTGGGAAAAGCAGAAGCCCCCCAAAAGAAAAAGGTAATTATAAAAAAAAAAAAACTCACTAAAACACAACATACAAGGAAGAAATGCGGCAATCATAGCAACAAGGTGGAAGCAAACTACAAACTACTTAACAAATTATGCTCTTTATTGTTCTTGTTTTTTTTTTTTTTTTAGAGGCGCTTATGGGATGCTATTAAAAAGAAGAGAGGAGGTGAAAAAGGATCTCCTTACAGGGGAAAGTGGACGGCGCTGCCCACCAAGATGGCTGCCAAAAAAACGCTGCATGTGACCTGGAAGCAACAGTTTGAACCCCGCAGTCCTCTTGCTTCTCTCAATGATGGAAAAACAGGCAGAGACAAGTCCACTGGGGAGCACGGTCTCCTTGAGGGTTACTCTCTGAAATCCAAACAGCAAAAGCCTTTCAATGCCGTCCGAAAGCAGTGGTCTTTGGTGAGCCAGGAGAATGTGCACCATGTTGAGAATCACCCATTTCTTGTATCAGCCACAAACGAGACAGAGATGAAAGCGGGCTCAGGTTCTTTGGCTGGGAAGCTTGAAAACAAAGACCTGGCAAAAATACTTGAGACACTGTCCCCTATTGAGACACCGGAGAGGTTCCAAAAGATCATGCCTCACATTCAGCCGGTGGGGCGCACTGCTGCCGTGGCCTCCCAGACTGCGCAAAGGTGCCCGGTGGTATCTTTGAACGATGCCCTGGCACTCATTGACTCCGGTTTCGCTCTTGTCAACGGCAGCCCTAAAGACTCCAGTTCTAGTAGTGACTTTTCTGAATCCCTGGAGTTTAAAAGCGAGGATCCTGAGCGTTTCAAAGCCCATCCTGATAGCCCAGAAGAGTCCACGGAGCCGCGGCTTACTTTCTTTGTCACCAAAAAAGTTGGAGCGCCCAAAGCAGAAAAGCCCGAGAGACCTAAAATATTGTCCTTCAACTGTGAGACGGTGATAAAAAGCAAAGCACCGGTGACAAATTGTGAAAGTGGGCGAAGAATAAAGAAGTCGAGGCGGCGCTTGATGGAGAAAACACTTGAGTTGTCGGAAGGCAGCAGCCAGTGTGAGTCTGGCCCAGGGACCCCCCACCTCCCTGTAATAGAACCAGACACAAGGACAGCTGGTTCCCTTGGTGGCGACAGCCACACAGTCCAAGAATGTCATGGCAGACCAACGGCAAGACTCGGTGATGCTCAATTGCCCATCAGGCTCGATGGAAGCTCTCCTCCAACTCGAGCTCACTTGAGTTTTTCCTTCGCGCTCACTTCCCCGCCTCACAACGTCCCTCCCATGACATTCACGATCTCCTCCCCATTACCCCTGGGCCAGTCTTCTCCACTTCACTCCAGCAACACAAGTCATCCCCAACCTGAAACCTCCCCGGAAACGGATATTCTTCCCCAAGCGGTCTCAGCGCAGGAGGACGTCTCTCCTGTTCGCAGCCTGACAAAGAGCAAAAAGAGGAAGAGTGAAGAATATTTGAAAGGCGTCACGAAGACCGACGGCGGTGGGAAAACCGAGCAGGTTAAAAAGAGCAAAACGGTGGCTTGGAAAAGTCAGCCCGTGAAATCAACGCAGGAGAGGAGGAAGTCACAGAGGCAGTCAATCAAATCAAAAGGTAGTTTGGCGACGTCACACCGAGGCAAATACACATTAACGACGTTGATTGCCCCGCTGGCTACTTTTTGATGCGCGTAGAAGCTAGCCGACGTAAACATGAGTTGTTAGATAACTGTAAGATACAGAATTTGAAAAAAAAAAAAACCCTTCATAACGTTATTCTCCTGCTGACAAATATTTGTGGACCTGCACGTACTTGTGGTTCGGCACCCGCAGATTCACCACTTTTTTTCTTTTTAAATTTACTTTTTTAAAAACATATTTTTGTGGAGCTGTTTTCTTTTTTTTTTGTGAAAGACATATATTGAGTTTTTAATTATTTTTATGCCCCCCCCATGCATTTCTTTGCGCATCATTGCCTGGTCCCCATCCACCCCTGAATCACAGGGGTCCACTTTCGTATATGCAATATTAAGAATTGAAGGTTCATTTGTGATGATTAACAAATTTGAAAACGGTATGCATTCTCCGCATAGGTTCTCCGCATGCAATGACAACATCCGTAAAGACCCTAACGTCGTCTGTCTCGACTCAGACACAGCCAGCGAGCGCCAAACTCCCCCGACGAGGTATCACATGGTCGACGGTGTCGCACACTTATTCGGCGTGCTTAACGATGAGTCTCAAAATCCCGGTATGGTTTTGTGCGAAGGTGCCCGGGCGCTGAGGTCAATCAGAGCAGAGCGTGTCAAGTGTGTGAAGATGGCTCCAGTTGCAATGTCAAAGTTGATCTTTGTCAAAACGACTCAGACAGGTATTTGGGTGCCGATGGTTCATTCATCCTTGCATCGGGTGTTTAATTCGTGCCGGGATTTGGCAAATAAGAAAGTGCTCTGTTGTCGTTTGCCCTAGCCATCCCCAGGCATCCACTTCCTTTCGCTGCCAAGAACATGTTCTATGACGAGAGATGGATCGAGAAGCAGGAGAGGGCGTTCACGTGGTGGCTCAACTATGTCCTGACCCCGGATGATTTTAAAGTCAACACAGAAAGCACCAAAGGTAAGTTGGCCTTCGTTGAGATGTCACTTTTTGCAAAAGATGAAAGCGTCGTGTTTCATTGCAACTTTGGGGGGAATTTGACGTTTGTGACACGGCTTCTGTTGAAGTTGTTCTTGTGATCATGATTCCTTTTTGTCATTGTCGTTGTTGTAGTGAGTGCTGCGCCTCTGGCAATTGGCTGCAGCGACAAGTTCCATGTCCCCAAAGCTCCCACCAAAGAAGAGATGTCTTTCAGCACGTACACCGCCCGGCGAAAGTTAAACCGCCTCCGCCGGGCCGCCTGTCAGCTCTTCACCTCCGAGACGATGGTCAAGGCCATTAAGAGGTTGGAACTCGAAGTGGAGGCAAAGAGGCTGCTCATCCGCAAGGACCGCCATCTTTGGAAAGATATAGGTGCCGCTCCTACTGTCGGTTAAAAAAAAAAAAATCCTGTCTTTTTTTTTTTTTCTTTATCATCATCATAATCATCATATTTTTTTTCAGGAGAACGTCAAAAAGTTCTCAACTGGCTTCTTTCCTACAATCCTCTGTGGTTAAGGATTGGGCTTGAGGTATGTCTTGGCCAGATTGTTTGCTTTTGTTTTCTTCTATTTTGTAGGTAAGTTGTCGATATTGTCACCCTTCAAGTGAACGCTGACTATCAAACGCGCCTTTATGCTTAGACCATCTTTGGGGAGATGATCTCGCTGGAGAGCAACAGCGATGCAATGGGTTTGGCGATGTTCGTCCTCCAGCGTCTTCTCTGGAATCCCGACATCGCAGCCGAGTTCAGACATTCAAAAGTTCCTCATCTTTACAAAGACGGTAAGAGTTTGTCCCCAGAGGGGGAAAAAAATTACAATCGCGACATTGATGGCGAGCCGTGCTGCCGGTTATCTCTTCCGTTCAGGCCACGAGGAGGCGCTGTCGAGCTTCACGCTGAAGAAGCTGCTCTTGCTGGTGTGTTTCTTGGACAAGGCCAAAGCGTCTCGCCTGATTGAGCACGACCCTTGTCTGTTCTGCGTTGACGCAGAGTTCAAGGTAGGCGCTGATATTAGTCAACGATGGTGACCACTGCAACTGCACCAGGGCGACGCAATTATGGGGAAAGTTATTAAAAGATAAATGATGTCAAAATATCAATGATGGATTGATCAATTACAGTGGATAAAACTCAAAATATTGAATGTTTAAAAAAAAAAAGCAAGTATGTGTTGATTTCGTCCTATTTATTGATGACATTTGTACTGATGCTGCCTGGTGTGACATTGTAACTGTGGAACGTGGATCTCAAATGTTGTTGATGGCGGCAGAGCTGAATCATTCATATGAATCGAGATCCTTACAATATTTGCTTGTGTGCTGCATCTTGCACTGTTACATCCAAAAGGTTTTGCGCAGGCCAGGGACATTTTCTTGACTTCTCTAATTCCGGTTTATTCGTCAAATGCAATAGTTTGAAAGCTAATAGCTTTCAAGCTAATACAAACTAATACTGCATCCACTTAGTCGGACACTTTTTGTAATACATTGTGTGGCAGTGCTGAGGCGAAACTGATGAAAATGTTTACTTGTTATAATGCCTTTCATTATGTGGATTTGAGAATGTAAATTTCGACACGTGAGACGGCTTTCTGGCATTTCCTTATAGTTTCCTTTTCAAAATATTGCTTCCTAAAAGATAATTGTGATTCCTTTGTTTCATTTAGGTCTAGAGTTTGGTTTTGGATCTGATGTCCATGAGCTAACTGTTGTGAATGTATTTTAAATGTTTTTTTGAAGACAAGTAAAGACTTGTTGCTGGCCTTCTCACGAGACTTCTTGAGCGGGGAGGGCATTCTCCCTCGGCATCTTGGCTTCCTTGGATTACCAGTCTCTCATGTTCAAACTCCCCTTGACGAATTCAGCTATGCTGTGGTGAATTTGGCCGTTGACTTGAAATGTGGAATCAGACTCGTGTGAGTGACAGAATTTAAATGTCATACGTTGCCCCATTTTATGGATCCTCATTGGCTTGTTGTTTTGTTTTGTTTCCCCTCCCCCATCTAGGAGGGTCATGGAGCTCCTCATAAAGCAGTGGGGCTTGTCAGCAAAGCTGCGACTGCCAGCCATCAGCCGCCTGCAAAAAATCCACAACGTGGATATTGCCTTGCAAGTGCTCAAAATCAGAGGGGTCGACCTGAAGGATGAACATGGTAATTGCGCTCTGTCATCCGAACCCTCAAGCTTGTTCCAAGTGGATGGAATACGTTTGGCTCCACTGACTTGTATGATCACGGCGCTGGGCATCTTTGCTTTACTTTCAGGTTCCGTCATCGATTCTCGAGACATTGTGGATGGTCACCGGGAGAAGACGCTGAGCCTCCTGTGGAAAATCATTTTCTCATTTCAGGTGTGTATCCGACCCGCGGCCCAACAAAGATGGAAGGATTTCGCAAATCATCTCAGCAATCTCTGTTGGTTAGGTGGAGGTAATTTTGAACGAGGGTCAGCTGAGGGAGGAGATTGTCTTCTTGAGGAGAAGCCTGAGGTCAAAACAGAGGTTGGCTTCTGTGAGGGCCGGCCGGGGCCTTGAGCCCAGTGCGCTCAAAACCAAGGCGCCGTATGAGCATCGCAGCGCTAAAGTTGTTCTGCTGATGGAGTGGGCCCGCGCCGTGTGCGACTTCTACAATCTGACGGTGAGTTTGCGAGATGTTCTTTTCAGAAGCCCGAATCGTCACCAGTTGAGGGTTTGCTTTGTCTCAAACTGTAACATTGTGTCAGTGCTTCCGCCATCCTTGAAGAGAAAGCCGGCAGCGGCGGTTTTTGTCCGGGGACCGAATCTAGAACTTGTCGAGGGAACTCGCTGCACGCCAACAAACAGATGACTTGAGTCTTTTGTCGTTGTCTAGCTGGAGAACTTCACTGTGACATTCTCCGATGGCCGCGTCCTCTGCTACTTAATCCACCACTACCATCCCAGTCTCATCTCGGAGGAGTCGGTCCATCACAGCACCACCCAAACTGTCGACTGCTCGTCAAGGGGTCGCCTGGAGCTCAACTGCTCGGCCATCGACTCCGACAGCTCTTTTGACGATGCTCCCAAAAGCCCAAATGGTGTGTGTCACTTCACTCAGGACATTAAGGAAATGACACATGTAGAGGTGTTACATAGCCAGTGATTGGTTTATATCTGTGTTTATGTACGTGCACCCATTATACTGTATATTTGTTTTTTGTTTGTGCTTAACCGGAACAGGCGCAGAGTGTCCCTCTGCGGAGTTTAAAAAGCTACTGGAAAACGAGAAAAGCAACTTCGGGCTGGTTAATGCTGCGGTGGCTTTCCTGGGTGGAGTGCCTTCCATGATCAACCCGGCTGACATGTCCAACACCATCCCCAATGAGCAGGTGCGCCGAAACCAGACTTGTATCCAAAACGAGCACCAAACCAAATGTCGAGATTGGCGCAGTCACTCTTGGGAATATGTCGGCACTCCGAAATTGGAACAATCAGGATCCGCAGCGTGAGAGTGTCGGCATCGCTCGAGCAAGCGGAAAGTCAACTTGAAAACTGTCCCAAGGCGCAAGAAAAGTTGACCCTTTCTATCTTTTCGATGTCTATTTCTTCAACAGGTTGTGATGTGTTACCTGTCTTTCCTGTGCGCTCGTCTCTTGGACCTGCGTAATGAAACCAGAGCGGCTCGGGTCATACAAGGTGCCTGGAGGAACTACAGAATAAAGAAGGACTTGCAACTCTACAAGGTCGGTCACATGCGCGTTGTCAAAAGGATATTGCTTGAAAATGTCAATGTCTTGCATCGAAATACATGGTGGCAACCCCCGCTTCTTGTTTTGCGACACAGGAGAGAAACGTGGCTGCTGTGAAAATTCAGGGGGCCGTGAAGCGTTTTCTCCAGCGATGCAAAGCCAGGAATCAAAATGCGGCGTCCGTGATCATACAGTCCGCCTGGAGAGGCTTTGTTATTCGTAAAAGACTGCGGATGGAAAAAGAAGCAGAGCTCCGGATCATTCAGAATCAAGCGGCCACAATCATCCAGGTAGCTTGAGGCTTCTATACGACTGCATTTTATTCCCGGCACTCCCATCATTCTGCTCTTAGAGTAAAACAAGGTGCAGGGAACACACAAATACAGTGAAGCGCTGCCTGTTTACATGTCTTCATTTGGAACCTATTTTCAGACATTTGCTGAACCACTAACATCCCCAAAATACGGTAAATAAATCAACAGGGCTGCAAAATACTCACTTTTGCTCCTTAACAGCCATGGATAGTGGAGGTTTGTGTAGTATTTCTCAGAATAATGTGCATAAACCATTAATTTATTTTGTTTTTGGAAAATTCTTAAACTTCCGATATGAGATTCCATGGAAAATGGGGCTTGGCTCTCCTCTCCCCCACAAAAAAAATTCAGATTATTATTTTTTAAATGTTGGGGAGGAATATTGAAATACAATCTGCCAATAGATTGATCAATCAATGATGACGAAAAAGCCTGAACTGTTCTAAGCCTGTTTTACCAGTATAACACAATGCGAATCGAATATATGAGATTCCACTATGGCGGAGGAAGGAATACCGGCGCTGAGTCATTAGCACCTTTTTTCAACAGCATCTATTTTGTCAGTTTACTTGACAAGTGTACGTACTGCAAGGGCATGTGGAATCGGTCTTCAAATTCCCGTTTGTTTGTTCGTTTGTTTGCGCAGGCCAAGTGGAGAATGTTTTCCGCTCTGAGATATTACCAGCAAGTCCGATCCAACGCCGTTGTTGTCCAAGCGCGGTGGCGAATGAAGAGGGCCGCGTCGGCCTTTGTCCAAATCCGCTGGGCGACGGCTGTCTTGCAGAGATATTTCAGAGCTTGGATTCACGGGAGGAAAGTACGCGTGCGTTATCTCTGCCTCAAAGCTGCCGCCGTGAAAATGCAGAGAGGGTACCGACTGTGGAAAATCCAGAAAACTCAAAGGGAAAACCGTGCTGCCAGAGTAATACAAACCGCATATAAGAAATGGCACATGGAGAAAATGGCCAAAAGAACAGCCGCCGCTGTTGAGATTCAGTCTTTCTATCGAATGCAAAGGTGCTCGCATCAATACAGAAAGATCCAAAGAAGCGCTTTGCTCATTCAAGCGCACTACAGAGGTCTCATTCAAAGATCCCACTTTCAGAGGCACAAGCAGCAACACCACTCGGCCATCGTCATTCAGAGTGCCTTCAGGGGGCACCGGGTCAGGAAACGGGCCCTGAGAATGAAACGCGCCTGCGTCCTCATCCAGCGATGGTACAGGGCCTCTGCAAGAAGAGCTGTGGAAAGGCAAAGATTTGTCAAGATGCGCCGTGCCGCCAGGACCATTCAGTTGGCTTACCGCAAGAAACGCAATCGCGACTTGCTGAAGAAACGACACCGAGCAGCAACCGTGATCCAGGCTGCGTTCAGGAAATTTGCCTCCCGATGGCGCTACCTCGCCCTCAGGAAAGCAACAGTTGCCGTACAGCAAAAGCTTCGAGCCACAATTTTAGCTCGGAAGACAAGGGAGGAGTATGGCGCACTAAGAAAGGCTGCGCTCCTTATACAAGCCTACTGGAGAGGCAGAGCCGACAGGATGAGGATTAAAAAATACCACCGGAGCGCAACACTTATCCGGGCCCACTACTACCGATACAAGGCCCAAGTGGAGTTCAGGTCAAAAAAGGCGGCAGCTGTTGTCATCCAGCGTCGCTATCGGGCTCATGTGGTTGCAAAGAAAACAAGGGAAGCGTTCCTCCAGAAGAAGGCGGCCTGTATTACCATAGCGGCGGGATTCAGAGGCATGAAAGTCAGAGCGGACCTGAAGAAAAAGCACAAAGCCGCAACTGTCATTCAGTCGGCACTCAGGATGTATTTGAGTCGAAAACAATACAGGCTCCTTCAAAGTGCAATCATTATCATCCAGTGCCGTTATAGAGCCCGACTCTGTTGCAGGGCAGAGCGACACAAGTACAAAGAGCAAAAAAAAGCTGCCTTGAAAATCCAAGCCGTTTACAGAGGCTGGAGAGGAAGAGAAGAATTTAAGAAGAGGAGCAACGCCATCAGAGCCATCCAGGCTGTGTTCAGAATGCGCCGAGTTCGTAAGGCTTATCTTGCCACCAAGTGTGCTGCGGTCATTCTTCAAGAGCGATACAGGGCCAAAATCCGCATGGCTGAACAGCTGAAGATGTACAGAACGGTGAAATCTGCCGCCGTTACCATCCAGGCCGCATATCGTGGCTACTGCGCCCGCAGGAAGATTGCGCAGATGCGCCGTGCGGCCTGTGTCGTTCAGAGAAGGTTTCGCATGATCCAGGAGAAGAATCGATTCCTGGCTCTTAAGACAGCAACTTTGGTTCTCCAGCGGCGCTACAGAGCGCTGATGTTGACGAGAGAAGTGCGGCGGCAATACCTGTCAAGGCGCAGGACGGCCGTTTGCCTGCAAGCGGCCTTCAGAGGACGCCAGATCCGAAAGCAGTTAAGCGTCAAGCATCACGCGGCCATTCGGATTCAGTCAAATTTCCGGAGCTATCGGCAGAGAACTCACTACAAGATGCTTCGATGGGCTTGCGGTGTTGTGCAAGCGCGTCACAGGGCCAACAGAGAAATGAGACGGGAGAGGCTGGCTCTGAGTGCAAAGAAACGCGCTGCCGTTGTCTTACAAGCCGCTCTGCGGGGAATGAGAGCAAGACGACTTATCAAACAAAAGCATCGGGCTGCCTCGACAATTCAGAGAGCTTTCAGAGCCCACTGCGAACACAAGAAGTACATCGCCCTAAAGTCTTCAGTGCTCGCCATGCAACGTAGATACCGGGCCACGGTAGCAGCCAAAGCTCAAATGCGACACTACCAAACCATGCACAGGTCTTCAATCGTCATTCAGTCAGCGTACAGAGGACTGCGCGTCAGGAAGGATGTTGCTCGTTGGCATCAGGCTGCCACTTTGATCCAGTCTACGTTCAGAAAGCACAGAGAAGAAGTCAAATTCCAGAGCGCGCGTCAGTCGGCCATCGTCATCCAGAGACATTACCGGGCCTTCGTGCTTCAGAAACGGGATAGGGGATACTACCTGAAAGTCCGATCCTCCGCCATCGTTCTTCAGGCCACTTTCAGAGGTCGCCTTGCGAGAGGGAGGATTGGCAAGATGCACAGAGCAGCGACAGTCATACAGGCACATTTCAAGAGGCATAAGCAGCGGTTGCTCTTCAGAAAACAGCGCCGGGCTGCCTTGGTTTTACAGCAAAGGTTTAGAGCTATGAGGGAGAGAAACTCGGAGATGAAGCATTATCAAGAAGTCAAGAATGCCGCTCTTCGTCTGCAAGTTGCCTTTCGGAGAATGAAATCAAGGCAATCCGTCAAACGAATGCACGCGGCTGCGACTGTCATCCAGGGCGCTTTCAGGTGCCACCGTGAGAAAGTCCAATTTCAGGCCACGCGTCGGTCAGCCATCGTCATCCAGAGATGCTACAGAGCCCACATTCTTCAGAAAAAAGAAAGGGACTACTACCTGAGAGTCCGAACCTCCGTCATCTGTCTCCAGTCGTTTTTTAGAGGTTGCTCAGAGAGGAGAAAAATAACCAAAATGCACAGGGCAGCCACTGTCATACAAGCAAACTTCAAGAAGCATCAGCAACAATTGCGCTTCAGGAAACAGCTCTGGGCTGCTCGTGTCTTACAGCAGAGATTTAGAGCCGCAAGTCAGCGCAACGTCGAGGTCAAACGTTATCGGAAAGTCAGGAATGCTGTGATTTGTCTACAAGCGGCCTTCCGGGGAATGGAATCAAGAAAATCCATCCGACAGAGACACCGGGCTGCGACCGTGATCCAGGCCGCTTTCAGAAGTCGCAGACAGAAAGTCCAATTCCAAGCCACGCGTCTGTCAATCATCGTCATCCAGAGATACTACAGAGCCCACCTTCTCCAGAAAAAAGAAAGGGACTACTTCCTGAAAGTCCGAACCTCTGTCATCTGTCTCCAGTCGTTTTTCAGAGGTTGCTCGGAGAGGAGAAGAATTGCCAAAATGCACAGGGCAGCCACTGTCATACAAGCAAACTTCAAGAAGCATCAGCAACAATTGCGCTTCAGGAAACAGCTCTGGGCTGCTCGTGTCTTACAGCAGAGATTTAGAGCCGCGAGTCAGCGGAATGTCGAGGTCAAGCGTTATCGAGAAGTCAGGAACGCTGTGATTGGTCTACAAGCGGCCTTCCGGGGAATGAAATCAAGACAGTCCATCAAACAAAGGCACTTTGCGGCAACTGTAATCCAGTCTGCTTTCAGATGCCGCAGAGAGCGAGTCCGATTCCAGGCCAAACGCTTGGCGGCCATCGTTATCCAGAGAGGCTACAGGGCTCACGTTCTTCAGGAAAAAGAGAGGGACTATTTCCTGAGAGTCAGATCCTCAATCATTTGTCTGCAGGCAGTTTACCGCGGCCGTTTGGAGAGAAGAAGAATTGCCAAGATGCACAGAGCAGCTACCGTCATTCAAGCAAACTTCAAGAGACGTAATCAGCAATCGACTTTCAAGAAGCAACTCTGGGCGGTCTGTGTCTTGCAGCGGAGATTCAGAGCCCTGCGACAGAAACGCCGTGAGGTCAAACATTATGAAAAAGTCAGGAACGCTGCGATTTGTCTCCAAGCTGCCCTCCGGGGAATGAGCGCAAGAAAATCCCTCAGACAAATGCATCGGGCTGCCACAACTATTCAGACGGCTTTCAGAGCCCATTGTCAGTCGAAGCGGTATCTGAAAATAAAATCATCTGCGCGAACCATTCAGCAACGGTTTCGTGCTACCGCAGCGGCCAAATCTCAGAGGAAACACTTCTTGGAAGTGCGCCGCGCAGCCGTCATCTTTCAGGCCGCCTACAGAGGCCGGCAAACTCGGAAGCACATTGCTCGGTTGCACCGGGCGGCGACGGCCATCCAGTCGGCATACAGGAGGCGGGTTGAGCTCGTCAAATTTGAGGCCATGTGCGTGTCTGTGGTGCTCATTCAGAAGTACTACCGGGGCTTCATTCGTCAAAGGCGAGAAAGAAGCAAGTTCCTGAAACTCAAAAGGGCCACTGTGGTTCTTCAGGCTGCATATCGAGCTCACAGAGTAAGGAGGTACATAAGGCAGCAAAGTCGAGCTGCCACTTTGATCCAGTCGTACTGGAGATGCTCGGTCCAGAGGCGCCTCTTCCGGAAGAGGAGAGAGGCAGCCATGAAGTTGCAAGAGAGGGTCAGAGCAATGCGTCTTGGCAAAGAAGAAAGGGAGAACTACGTGCGAATGAGGCGGGCCGCGATCGCGCTTCAGATCCACTGCAGAGCCTGGATTGTACGAAAGCAGGTAAGGATACAATTCTTGTTCATTCCAGCATGCGTTGCACATCGTAAAACCAGTGTTGAAAGATCTAGATCAGCGGTGCCTGATCGCGCTTCAGACCCACTGCAGAGCCTGGATTCTACGAAAGCGGGTAAGGATACAATTTTCTTGTTCATTCAAGCGTGCGTTGCACATCATAAAACCAGTGTTGAAAGATCTAGATCAGCGGTGCCCAAGTCTGGTCCTCGAGAAGCCCTTTCCAGACTGTTTTAGACGCACCCCTGATTCAAATGATCAGCTTATCCGCAAACTAGGCAGAGGCCTGATCACCAACCTGATCATTTGAATCAGCTAGGCCGGTGGAGGAAAACCTCTGGACAGGGGCTCTCGAGAACCCTGATCAAGATGATTTAACAAAGATTCATCCTTTGTGTCATCAAGGAACTCAAGACTGCCAGTGCACAGAGGAGAATTCGTTTTGCTGCCGCAGTCTACCACCACCTCAGTGCTATTAAGATCCAAAGAGCTTTGCGAGCACACTGGGCCTTGGAGTCCGCAAAGAGACAGATCCAGTCTGTCATCATGATACAAGTACGGTAGCAACTGTTGGGTCTTGTGATCCGGTGAAATCTGGAGAAAACACAAAGTCCTTTTGGTGTTTCTGCCCCATAGAATCTGGTGCGAGCGAGGCTACAAAGGAGACGCTATCTGGCCCAACGGAGGAAGGTCATGACAGCCCAGAGAGCAGTCAGGCGTTGGTTGGCCCGTCGCCACAATTCTGCATCGGTCATCCAACGTGCTGCTCGCAAGTTCCTCCTCATCAGGCGCCAGAAGAAAGTGGAACAGGGCGTCGTCAAAATTCAGGTATCAGTCATAGCTACAAGTTTTCCGTTTTTGATTTATGTCAACGCAACGTGCCAAGTACGCATCAGGAACGGCTCACAAATGCTGTTTGTTTTCTCCCTACCCGAGGCTCTATGGAGAGGACATGTCTCCCGCCAACTGAATGACAATAGCAAAGTGATCAAGTTGAGACACCGCCTGCGTAAAGTCTCTGCCGGCGCCCGGGAGGAGGACAAATTGCAGAACAAAACCTCATCTGCCCTGGACTGTATCCTTCGATACAGGCACTTCTCCTCCCTCCTCGAAGCTCTGAAAAACCTAGGTGAGGTTTAGCAAATCAATCAAGTCGTTTTAACTGACTGAATTATACAGAATTTCATGAGCGGCTCTTCATTTACTTCAATCGTTCAGATTATTGCTTTGTATTTTGAATAGTTTGCTATCGTCACGTTTGTTGTAGACAATACGCTAGTTGATGCTGGACAACGTACTCTCCCAGAAATCATACTGTGGACTTCACCGGCCTGAATTCATTTCCGCCCTCCTAGCCAGCCTACACTCCGTCAGCGAAATTGACGTTATGCTGTCGTGTGTCTGCGTTTCCAGAAGCGGCCACCAGGTTGTCCCCTGTGTGCTGTGAGCACCTGGTGGAGAGCGGCGCCACCAGCGTCATATTCACCCTCATCCGCTCCTGCAACAGGAGTGTGCCCTGTATGGATGTCATCACCTACTCCATCCAGATCCTCCTCAATCTCTCAAAGGTACGGTGTCGACATCGCAGAGCAGTTTGCTTTTAAGTCAGGGGTGTCCAAAGATCCATACAAAAATCCCAGGGGACTTATGCGCGTACGTATCGTCGAGCCCATGTGGGACGGGCCGTATCGAAAAGAATAGCCAGGATGGCAAAGTATGCAAATTTGACATGGTCAGGTGCTGCAAGGAAAACCAAAATCCGTGATCTCCTTCCACCATGCGTTCTGTCTTCAACAGTACCACAAAACTATTGAGGCTGTGTATTTGGTGGAAAACTCAGTGGAGACACTGGTGAACCTGATCCAGAGATACAGAGAGAAAGCGGGGGACAAAGTAGCAGACAAAGGCGGCAGCATCTTCACCAAAGCCTGCTTTCTATTGGTTCTGCTCCTGCAAGACAAATGCCACGCCGAGGTCCGTCCGTTCCACCAAAAATCATCATCAAAGTCAACTGCTGTTACAAGATGTGTACAAAACTCCGTTTCTCTATTTTAGGAGGCTATGAATTGCCCAAAGGTCTTGGATAGGGTAACAAGTATTTATCGCCTCACCGTTCGCAAATACAAGATGGACGCAGAAAGAAATGTGGCCAAACAGAAGATGAACGCGCCAATCAACGGAAGCTTCTACATCCCAGCAACGCCACGGAAATGCCAACCTGTGCCAAGGTATTTTACTTGGAAGGCGTGGATGGTTCAACATCCAATTTGTATTTGGCGGTTGACTGACAATTGTTTTTTGTGATACAAGGTTCGCACCGGACTGGGTTCTCAGGAAGGACAATCTTCCAAATGTCGTGGATCCTCTCAAGGCCATCCACATGTTGGCAAACACTCTCTCGATTGTCATGTAGATAGTTTTGAAATGTTGCCATGTCAGAGTTCTCATATTTTTTGTGTTTGTGTTTTGGAAAGTGTTTTATGTACAGTAAACATGATTTTACAGATACATCTGTGTGGCCACATTAAATGCATTTCTGTTATTTCCAGTGTTTGTGTGCATGGTTTTCATTGCTTAAAAAAAACAAAAACAAAAATGGCTCATGTCTCAAATGGAAAATTACCAGAAAGGCTTAAAACAGCAAATATGTACAGCAAAATAGAAACAGTATTTTATTATGCTGGAAGTGTTTTTTTTTTCTCTCCTCAACCGAAAACGTTACCAGTTACTTCGCAGTTGACAGACAATATTTATTAATTCCGCAACTATGTCGTCCTGTGTACTTGATAAATTCACACGTGAAGGTACTTTTTGACTGTGCTGCCCAATCAGCACTGGAAAGCTTCACAGACAAGTGGGCATGTGAAGTACTCCATCGTTACACCTCCGACGCATCCCTGACGTGCCGCTCTGCGTCGTCGCTGCGGTACACCTGAATTGGATACTATCATTGTGGAGAGCATACAACTTGTTGTGATTTCCAAATCTGAGAGTAACGTTGTGCTTGCTCATAGTCTCTCTTGTCACAACGCATGGCTCTGCAAGAAATAACAGACTATATTAATGCCCCTACGGTGGCTGGGAAGTGCCAAACAATATTACAATCTGTATAACATAATATCGCAGTCAATGCAACGTTCCTTGAAAAGTGCAATGGTTGTCAGTGATTATCACATCCAGTCTTACGAATGGGTTACGGTACTCACTGAGGCATCTCAACTCTCCAGTCCAGTCACCATTGATGCAAATCTTGTAGGGCCCCCCTTCCATGATGTGGGCAACCTGGCAAATGTATTCAACTCGGTCATGATTCCGATATTCCTCTTGAACTTCATCCTTGATCGCTCCACCAACCAGGTTAGGTGGCATTGGACAAAGTGACGGAGCTGAAGCGTTGAGCAGAATCGCTGGTTACAAGGCTTCGTTTTGTGTCATTCTGGTAAAACAGGCTGAGAATGGTTCTGGCATTTTCATCATTATAGATTTTTTTTTTTAATTAATTTTTGTTCGTTTTCTGAGCAGCTTTGTTTGAATTATTACCTTCAGTGTTTTAAAGAAAATATGGCGTTTTAGTTTATTTTCTACATTATTTTTTGTAAATTTTATGTATTTCTTGTGTGCAAGAATTTAAAATTTTGGAGTGTTCAATCAGCCTGCCATGCATGTTTTTGGAATGTGGGAGGAAACCGGAGTACCCGCAGAAAACCCACGCAGCATGCAAACTCCACACGGGGAGGTCGGCACTGGAATTGAACCCGGTACCCATGCACTGTGAGGTCAAAGTGCTAACCACTGGACCACCGGGCCACTTGTTCTCTCTCTTTTTATTTTTATTTTTTTCTCCCCTAACAAAAAATGCTGAGATCTCAAAAAAATATCTCCAATACAAAAATTAAAGTCAAATTTGAAAAGGAACAAATAATGAGCGCACAAAGGATGTCTCATATCTCAGAAAATTACAAATGTGCATATTGGCACATGTGGATTCTTCCAACACGCCTTCTTGTATCCCTTCTGACAGTTAGCAAAATTGGAACTTGTACAGGACATTATATAAACAAAGAAGTTGAGAGAAACACACAACTAACTTACCTTTTTCAGAAAAAGAATCTTCCACACTACCCCACAGTAGCAGAAACAGAAGCATGAGCATATTCGTCTTTTTTTCTCAAATGCATTTGAGCCCAGCTCTTTACTGAGGAAATTTTATGCTAACATGTTACAACACACTGTAAACAAAGGGGAAGGTACATAACTCACATACAAACATTTCCCCACCGGCAAGATCAATAATGACTCACACTCCTGTCGGGAACAAATTATTTTGTAACCCGTCGTTATATTTACTTCTATGACACATTCTTGTTTTTCTGTTTTGTGTTCTATTGATACTTTTATCCGGAAAAATGACATGAATAGTGCTGCTTTTATTGCAAACCAAACACTTCTTTTCATATCTCACCCTTAGTGTGAATACGTTTTAGGGCTGTCACGACAAATTCATTTTAGAATCGATTATCCCAACGACCATGACAATCTGTGTTTTATCCGATGTACGGCAATATACTCGCAGTGACTCAAAAGCAGGGATATCCAAAATCTATTCCTCACGGTCTCTGTCCTGCATATTTTAGATGCTTCCGTGCTCCAACACGGCTAATTCAAACGATGAGCTCATCAGCAAGCTCTGCAGATGCCTGATGACAATCCTCAGCGGACTGAATAACAGAACATAATTCAATTATTATTATTAATTATCATGGTTGTATGAGGCAGCAGGTTGGTGGACTGGTGAGCCTGTCCGCCCCCCACAGCGAATATAATATAATGTGTCCGGGGCTTTACACTTAGTATGTATGCGAGCACGACAACAAGTCAGCTTGTAGAAGCAAGAGGCGGAGATGTTTTTTTTTATTGAAATCAAGCAGACAACGCAGCGACATACGACCGACAGTCGGCCGATGACCGACTCAAGTTTGGGACATTCACTCGTCCCGACCCCCGCAAAAGCAGCTACTGGCAGGTGGGCAGTTCCATTTCTCCGTCGATGCACTTCTGTCGCATATTCAGAACGCCGTCATGTCTCGTTCCCGAGGCGCACCTGAACTCGATGACGTCATCATGGGCAGAGTACAACTTATCGTCACGGATGTATCGGAATGCAATTTTGTGGGTGCTCATGAGCTCTCTATCCACGGTGCAGGGCTCTGCAAGAAACATTCATATTCATCATCCGGGTGCTGTGTTTGAAACTTTACAGCCAATTTTCGAGGACCAGTCATTTTAGCATTTGGCCTCGATTTAGAGCGTCGGTAAAATCAACCATTTGAGACTTACTGAGGCATTTCATCTGTCCCACCCATTGGCCATTGTTGCAGGTCATGTAGGGGTGCCCGTCCATGACGTAGTAATTCTGGCAAATGTACTTAACTCTGTCATTATGTTTGTAACTGAATTTGGTGGAGGATTCGGTGTCGCCACCGGCAAGGTGAGGTGGACGCTCACATTCCGAAGGAGCTAGAAGAACGGGGACAAACAGAAACGGGTCATGATGCTGCTGCCACGACTGGGCAGAATGACACGGAGCTTCAAAGCTTGCGTCGAGTAGAAGTGGCCGTGGAAAATGACGTCTCGTTTCAATTTCGTCATTCTCAAAGAGTATTAGGGTGAGTTGAGTCAAACATCTAGACACGGTCGGAATTTGGAGTGAAGCGACATGACTGGCTTTCGTCTCAAATAGCAACTGCGATACTGCTCAACGTGCAGCAGGGGTCCTTCAAGAGCAAATATGAATGAACCATCGGGTAATGAACCAAATACGTGAGAGATAATGTCTCATTGGTTCATGAAGCTTCACTTTGCCCATCACTACCGCTGCATCTTTATTTACAATAGCTTCAGAAAGTCTCACTCCACTTAAAATTGTTTTAAAAATTATTATTCCATGTCCAGTCCATATGAATACCCACGCAGGCATTCATTGCATTGGCCTTTGTGACTTTAAAATATATCGCTAATGAGTAAATTGAGCCATTTGAGACCAGGGGAGCCATTTTCTGTCACATGCGCAGCTAGGGAAAAAGGTAACCCCCTGTATAAACATTACCTCCACACGTTGGGAAGGGATCGCTCCACTGCCCATTGGGAAGACATTCCACCTCCGCTTTCCCTTGAAGCATCTGACCACGCAGGCGGCAATAAAACGTCAACTTTTGTCCTTGTCTTGCTTGTGTGCCTTGGAAACCGGTGCTCAAGCGTACGCTAGCAGGGATCCCCGACACTTGGCACGGTTCTATTTTCAGGAGAAGAAAAGTCACAAATCAGACTTTAGGCGTGGTTGTGGTCAAATACCGGACAACAGCGAATCAGCCACGCGATTTTGCTTTTAACCAATGAGGGTGCAGTTGGTTGTTCAGTGCACTGAACTGCATTTCTTGAGCAATTATGAGGCACTTGGACACAACATGCTAATTATGACAATGTGGATAATAGGGACCTAATTTTCCTTCGGCAACTGTGTCTTTTTTTGCAAATGAAAACAAACCGGAAGTTGACCGGCTTCACAAAATGTGTTGTGCTCGACGTTGAAGGTTTGCGAGGTTTTTCCTCACTTGAACGGGTTGAAAAGGAGCATACCAGTGCAAGTCGGGAAAGGTTTGTTCCACTGCCCGGTGGGCAAGCATTCAATTTCTTCAGCTCCATCCAAAGCATATCCACCGCCGCAGCGAAACCTTAATTTGTGTCCCGTTCGTATGGTTTTATTCCCCGGTGGCAGCTCCTCTGCAGTAAGATGAAGGTGAAGCTCTTCGACTTTACAAGAAATGTCTGTTGGGGCGGGGGAGGGTCGAAGGTTAGCAATATTTGATGTTGTTAGCGTTGTTGCCGTTAGCGTGCGACGGCTACCTTCACAAGATGGGAATGGCTGATCCCAAATGCCATTTTGACCGCATATTAGCAGTGAGCTGCCACTCAGTTGTTTCCCGGGAAGGTCACAGCTGAACTTGAGGAAGTGATCGGGCAGGATGCCCTCTTCGTTTTCTGGTAAACCTGTGATTGTGATCCCCCCCTGTGCAGGCGGTGGGTCACATCTCATGGCTACAACGACAAAACAAGTTAGCCAGCTCACCCAAAGGGCGGACAAGATATGCTCCATCCAGGGATACACGTCCATGTCATGGTTTGCTGTCTGCCGCAGATGATATCGTTTTGGTTGACTCTCGGTGTTGTTTTTAATTTGCAACACAATTAGTGTAACGTTACACTCGAAACGTGGGTTGCCATTACAGGCTAAGCACTATCTTGATTTAGATTTTATCTGTGGTAATTCAGTGGAACCTGTTTTAAACGTACCCCGCTGACATTTTCACCGCTATAACATTCACATTTCAAAGTCATAATTTCACGTCATTCATTTTCCATTTGCCGATTTTGCCAACGACAAATACCTTTGTGATGTGAACTTCATTATAACGACCAGATTTTCCCCACAAAATAGTGAAAAGGCCTTCGTGACAACAAACCGCGCGAAGCTAATCGATGCCGCCACCTAGCTCAAGAACTAAGTGCACAGCGTTGGATTCCCCTCTGTTGCCTAGCAACAGTACCATCCGACTGTATTATACTTCGTAGTTGGCGGTCATTGTATTGGAAATAGTTACCACGAACTACCGTTATAACGTACAGATTTGTGATGTCCCTGCAGGACCCGTGAGCATTGTAATGTCATCTGTGGAGCGCCACAGAGATCAGTTCTCGCTCCTCTATTGTTTGGCTTTGAACCTCACGCATTTGCCCCCGAGTTGGGAATCAATCCACTTTTTGATAAGTTCTTGAACAGGATTCCATTAAATCAAATCAATGTTGATTTTGCTAGAATTGATGCTTTCTTGACTCATGTACTTATTATCGGCGATAACGAGTACACATACAGCTGATCATGAATTGCTTGTTATGAAAACTTACGTTCACAAATTGGGACATGGTTGGTCCATTTTTCCAGCAAACACGTCCTGGTATCAATTTTACTCACCATTTGATAGCTACAAGGAGTTGAGAGAAGAGGGGAGCATTAACTATTACAACGATAATAACAATGATGATGATCATGATACAAAAAGAAAGTCATCATGGCTACAAAATCTTTAATACGTGTGCTTTTATGAATTGGTCTTGGGACATGCACCTACCCCGGATTGCAAGAGTATTTGACCGTTGCCCCGAAAACAAAGTCGTCACCCTGGATAAACTGATAAAAGCCATTTGGAGTGTTTTCGGGAAGTGGACATGGCTTCACTGCAAAGAAAAAAAAAAAACAGTTTGTCAAACATCAAACATTTGATATTTGACCTGTTGGGATTAGTTATTGAATCAAATGATTTTCCCTCTTTCTTTTTCCCCCCCTGTTGGTACACACTATTATAGAGCAAGCATGGTGTTGATTAGTTTCTTTGAAGCAACTTGACTCATTTGAAATTGTTGTCAGCAACCGAATGGTGCACTTGCAGTTTTTTTGTTGTTGTTGTTTTTGTTGCAACCGTTGGGCAAGTAAGAGGAAGACAAAAAAAAAAAATGGCTTTGGACTCACAGAAGCAATGTCCTTGATTGACTGCCGCCCAGCCGTCACTTGTACATTTATATCTGATGGGGAGCCCTGATATGTAACCCACTTCACACGTGAAACGTATCACATCTTCTTCTTGATACTTAGTCTTTGGGGCCTCTGCCAAATGGCCGTGCGGAACGTCTGGGAGCGTCGCACATGCTAACAAACAGCAACACGGGTTAAGCAGACACGCAGCCACAATAACTGGCTCAACTTGTCAACACAAGCAACTCTGTCTAACTCGCTTCACATCCTTATAGCAATCAAATACGTTCCACTCGCCAGCCACAATATTAGGTACGCATGCACAAACTCATGCGAGAGCTGAATGAAAAATATGTTGCTCCTTCGTGGAGTATTTTGATCACCCAAAATATGAGAAATGACAAAGTAAGTGTCGTTGTGCGCCACTACACACTAAAATGAACAAATACTGTTGAAGTCATCTCATTGTGCAAGTGTACCTAATGAAGTGTCCGGGTCAGAAGGAAATAATCATTTGGCGGGCACGTACAGCAAGATCTTGCAATAGCTCTACTTTCCTAGACTTCAAAACAGTTAACTTCCCTAAATTGGAAGATGCTGACAAAGGAAAAATAAAAGTCTACCTTA